GCTGGGCACAAGGGGGGATGCTTTGCTGCAAGAAGAAGTTGGTTTGCTACCTGAAAATGATTGGGAACCCCCGGGCCCCATCCCATGATTGATGGTCATTTTCCACATGGGTTTGTCTGAAAATAGGGTACCCACGGTTACCTCAAGATCTACTGGTCAATCATCATTTTCTCATTACAATTGCCATTTTGGGGTAAGCCCCATATATTTGATGACCATCAATTGGGGTGTGTCACTTTTGGTAAAAAGTTAAATTTAAATTTGAAGTAGTAGTAGTAGTAGTAGTAGTAGTAGGAGTAGGAGTAGTAGGAGTAGGAGTAGGAGTAGGAGTAGGAGTAGGAGTAGGAGTAGCAGTAGCAGTAGCAGTAGCAGTAGCAGTAGTAGTAGTAGTAGTATTAGTAGTAGTAGTAGTAGTAGTAGTAGCAGTAGCAGTAGCAGCAGTAGTAGTAGTAGTAGCAGTAGTAGTAGTAGTAGCAGCAGCAGTAGCAGTAGCAGTAGCAGTAGCAGTAGTAGCAGTAGTAGCAGTAGTAGTAGTAGTAGTAGTTGTAGTAGTTGTAGCAGTAGTAGCAGTAGTAGTAGTAGTAGTAGTAGTAGTAGTAGTAGTTGTAGTAGTAGTAGTAGCAGTAGCCGTAGCAGTAGCAGTAGCAGTAGCAGTAGCCAGTAGCCAGTAGTAGTAGCAGTAGTAGTAGTAGTAGTAGCAGTAGCAGTAGCAGTAGCAGTAGTAGTAGTAGTAGTAGTAGCAGTAGCAGTAGCAGTAGCAGTAGCAGTAGCAGTAGCAGCAGTAGCAGTAGCAGTAGCAGTAGCAGCAGCAGTAGCAGCAGCAGTAGCAGCAGCAGCAGTAGTAGTAGTAGGAGTAGTAGTAGGAGTAGGAGTAGGAGTAGCAGTAGCAGCAGCAGGAGCAGCAGTAGCAGTAGCAGCAGTAGCAGCAGTAGCAGCAGTAGCAGTAGCAGCAGTAGCAGTAGCAGTAGCAGTAGCAGTAGCAGTAGCAGTAGCAGTAGGAGTAGGAGTAGTAGTAGTAGCAGTAGTAGTAGTAGTAGTAGTAGTAGCAGTAGCAGTAGTAGTAGTACTAGTAGTAGCAGTAGCAGTAGCAGTAGCAGTAGTAGTAGTAGTAGTAGTAGTAGTAGTAGGAGTAGGAGTAGTAGGAGTAGGAGTAGGAGTAGGAGTAGGAGTAGGAGTAGGAGTAGCCAAGTAGCAGTAGCATAGCGTAGCAAGTAGCAGTAGTATAGCCAGTCTTAGTGTAGTAATAGTAGAAAGAGTAGCAGCAGTAGCAGTAGCATCAGTAGTAGTAGTATTAGCAGTAGCAAGTAGCAGTACATAGCAAGTAGCAGTACATAAGCAGTCAGTGCAGTAGCAGTAGTAGTATTAGTAGCATTAGCAGTAGCAGTAGCAGTAGAGGTGGAGGCAGGAAGCGGAGCATGGCAGGAGCAGGATCAGGGCCAGTAGTAGTAGTAGTAGTAGTAGTAGTAGTAGTAGTAGTAGTAGTAGTAGTAGTAGTAGTAGTAGTAGTAGTAGTAGTAGGAGTAGCAGTAGCAGTAGCAGTAGCAGTAGCAGTAGCAGTAGCAGTAGCAGTAGCAGTAGCAGTAGCAGTAGCAGTAGGAGTAGGAGTAGGAGTAGGAGTAGGAGTAGGAGTAGGAGTAGGAGGAGGAGTAGGAGGAGGAGTAGGAGGAGTAGGAGTAGTAGTAGTAGTAGCAGGAGCAGGAGCAGGAGTAGTAGTAGTAGTAGTTGTTGTTGTTGTTGTAGTTGTTGTAGTTGTTGTAGTTGTAGTTGTAGTTGCAGTTGTAGTTGTAGTTGTTGTTGTTGTTGCTGTTGCTGGTGGTGGTGGTGGTGATGATGGCAACCGAACCGGCAGAGTCCGATGCATTGATTCAACTTAGGACCGAGCAGTCCTGGGGTGGCTATGGGAAGGGTAGCTACTGAGTGGAGCAAATAGTCTTGCAGTCTTGATCCTCCCGCACCAGACGTCATGCAACTGGGATCAGCCAATGATCTACGAATGTTGTTTTTTGGCCGAGCTAATAGGATCTCTGGTTTTTGGGGGAGGATCTTGGTCTCTTCAGCTATCGCTAACGATTGAGCGATGCTGGACACTGCTGTTGAGGCTGTCCCTTTTCAGCAGAGTATGATATGGCCGATGCCATGTAGCTCCCGATTGACTCAGAAAAAATCAATACCTGGGGCCTCAGGTTCTGAGATTCAGTTCAAACTGTTTGCGTCAATAGTGCATGTACACAAAATGAGGAGGGCATCTACGTCAATGCCATGAGAAACTGTTCCAACATGCGGCAGGAAATGTTGGTTTATGCGAAACAAACTGCAGGAAACTGACTGGTTTCTTCTCTATGGTTTTGCCATGTTGTGACCAGCCAAAAAACTATTGGGTTCAATCCCTGCAACAAAAATCCCTTCAACACAATCGAACAACTATCATCTGGAGGGACAAATATGTTTCGTCAATTTTTCCTGATAAGAAACTTAATTGTATAGGTATTTTCAACCCCTATGATTTTGTTGGTCCTTAGACAATCGCTAGCTGTCCATTTGCTCTGCTGGGCTTTCGTGGAAGAAGTCCCAGTTCCAGGCCGTTTCAGTCCGCCAGTGGGAGTGCGAGTGCCGCTGTTCTGCAAGTTCCGCTGTCGCCTGAGAAAAATGGAACGATGCAGCTGGGGTGGGAGGTACCATTTTCAGAACCCAGATGCCACTGGTGAGTGTTTGAAAAAGTGTTTTCTGAGTCAAACTGGCAGACCCCTTAGAAATCAGAGATGAAACTCATTCGAAATGGCTACTCGTCATGATTTTGGAAGTTAAAAAAAACAGCCCATGAGCCCTGAAAAAATCAGCCGGTGATGGTATGGTCGGATGGTCCGTAAGGACCATCCATTCATCCATGTAAAGTACCAGTAGTACCGCACAGGGCGGTGGCGGAAATTTCGATAGGAAACCTATAGGAGAGGTAAGTATTGTGATGCATGGGCAGCGAGAACCCACTGATGGATCGCAAGGTGGTTGAGGCTCTGAGTCTCTCTCTCTCTCTCTCTCTTCTCTCTGTGTCTCTCTATCTCTCCCTCTGTCTATCTATTTGTCTATCTATTTGTCTATCTATTTGTCTATCTGTTTGTCTATCTATTTGTCTATCTATTTGTCTATCTATTTGTCTATCTATTTGTCTGTCTATTTGTCTATCTATTTGTCTATCTATTTGTCTATCTATTTGTCTATCTATTTGTCTATCTATTTGTCTATCTATTTGTCTATCTATTTGTCTATCTATTTGTCTATCTATTTGTCTATCTATTTGTCTATCTATTTGTCTATCTATCTATCTGTCTATCTGTCTGTCTGTCTGTCTATCTATTTGTGTATCTATCTATCTGTCTATCTGTCTGTCTGTCTGTCTATCTCTAGCGTAGTGCATTTGTAATTGTAGTCGTAGTTGTAGTTGTAGTGTGGTGCAATGTGGTGTAGTGTAGTGTAGTTGTAGTCTGGTGTAGCGTAGTTGCAGTTGCAGTTGCGCTGGCAGTGGCAGCTGCAGTTGTAGTTGTAGGTGTACTGTAGTGTCGTGTGGTGTAGTGGAGTTGCAGTTGAAGTTGTATTTTAGTGAAGCGTAGTGGAGTGTAGTGTAGTGCAGCGTAGTCCAGATCCTCTTCAAAGGTCCCACGCCTGCCATCGTTTTTGAGACTGCTGCAAAACCCACACGTTTAGCTCACTTTTGGCAAGGTGCAGAATCCCTTGCGCCTGCCACGAAAAATGACACTTGAACGTCCAAAAATGGTCCGAAGACTGTGGTGTTTTTAGGATTTCACTTTGAAATGTTCTTCGCCACAGCCGCGTGCATTTTTTCCGCGACTCAAGTGCGAAAAGTACCCCGAGGCTGAAGTGTTTTTAGGCTTTTTACTTCGACATGTGCTTCGCCACAGCTGCGTGCACTTTTTCGACATCTCAACTGCCAGAATTGGCCCGAGCATGGCTTTTTTTTTAGCATTTTGACTTCAAAACGTGCTTCGCGCCACAGCGGCGTGCATTTTTTGATCTCTCATACCACCAGGTGGCTCCACACCCACCGCTGTAGTGATCTTACTCTTCGACCCACCGGAGCCACGAACCATTGGAAAAACATATATTTTATAATGTTTCGCGACCGGTACACCTTTTCGCGCACCTTGATCTTCTTTCTACTGACTCTTTCTCTTCTTACTCTTTCTCTTCTCAAACTGCTCTCACCTCTGTTGCTGCATCTGCCCATAAGTCACAAATTCGCCTAAATTTCCTTCGAATGTGTATATATACAAATTACAAATCATACTTGATTATATTTATCCTAAAACCAAAAATCTCTATCTTTGCCAATCCCTTTTTCGCCGGGTTGCTTTCCGCTGTGCAGGAAATTCGCATCCCATTCTCATCCATGTGGCCCACCTGGCGTGGTCGAGTGGTCGGCAGTGGCTGACCTCAGGGGGAGTTGAATGGGGCGATAATTGGAACATGGGGAGATTGTTGGATGTTTTTTTTTGCCTAGGACCACTGATAGAAAATGAAAAAACATTGGGATTTAACGAATTGTAAGATTCAGTATAAGCAACCCATTGTTCAGAACCAAGAGGTAGATTCGGGACCACATAGGACTTGATAATTTTTTCTCAGGACACACAGGTGAAACAGCTTAAAGGTTCGGCGGTTTGTGACAATCCGAGAGCTTTGCCAGCTCATTATTGGCTCGAAACAAGAATCAAAAATGAAGGCGCATCATGTTCCTTGTATTTAGCCTTTACCCAAGATGTCGCAAAATCTAACATTTCTGCAGTTTCTACATGATGTAAAAAAGACAATCGGCCCCTTCCACGGAAAGATGAACATTCGAGTGAATGCAGAAGAGGCAACACCATTTGGTTCCGATGTTTTTTTTTTTTTTAAATATATAGATGAAAGGAATTCATGTTGATTCACTTCGTAGACATTGTTACTGTGTTGCAGCCCTTAGCCGCCAACTCACCAGCTGACTATCTCCCTGACTCCCAGCAGTCCGATACTCAAAGCCATGGCGGTGGACTTCTGCACTCCCAAGGCTATGGAGGCCTCAGCCTGGTTCCAACCACAAGGCTTAATCCGCTTGCATATCAATAAATGTATACGACGACAATGTCGCATGTACTATATATATATATACACATACATATATATATATATGTATGTGTATATATACATATTACATATATGTCAATATGTCTAATATATCTAATAGATCTATCTAAAGATCCAATAGATCTAATGTACATGTAGAATATTTCATATCCATATTCTCAATATACACCCCAAGTCTGGCAGGCGGTGGAAAAGCGGGGCGATTTCAGCTGCGCCGCCTGTGCCGAGCTCTTCGCTAGTGCAGCGGAGCTGCGGGCGCACTGCAAATCGGAGCGGCATGTGTCGGGCTGGCCCAGATGGGGGGTGAGGATGTTAGACTTGGGAGACTTGTTTCCTTGGATATTGATGATGATTGATTTAGGATTACTAAGATATATTTTGATATAGGATATATTCATGATATTTATGATTATTTAGGGGATTCCTTGGATATTTATGATATTTTGATTGCCAGATGTTTCTGCGAAGGAAAATGAAATGGGGAAATCCCCGACCGGGGACACCCGATCTATAGATATCATATCTATAGATATCTATAGATATCTACAGTATAGTACTAATAGTACAAACATATAGTCGATCTAGCCGACTTATATAAAATCGCTAGATTTCTTTCAGCGCAAGGCAATTGAACATGAAGGGAACGCTTCCAGTCGGACGGATGGAGACGTAAGCATTACCATCAGATATGGAAAGGGCCTCAGGACCAGACCTCGCACATGGGCCACATGGGAATGGCTAAGCAATCCACTGGTGGATGAATTGATCTCGTTGTGATGAAAAAATGCTATCCTTAGAGCAGGAGCTCTGGATCCAATGATGGGTTGATGTTTGATAAATCTTGGGATTCCACACATCTGAAACTCTTGAAGGAACTGCCAGGAAAACATCCTAATGGCATGTATGGTTTCAGGGCTTTCCTGTAAGTTTGTTGCCTCACTTTTTTCATGCAGGAAATCCACATTTTTCTTGCTGGATTTCTGTTTTCTCTCAGTTGACTCAGCATTTTGGGCCGATGAAATCCCTCTCGCCGCCAGGTACAACATGAAACGTCAACTGTCTAACCTGAAACCCATCTCTCAGGACGGGGACCGGAGGGACGGGACCGGCGCCTGCGCCTATAAAAACCATCACATAACCATCAAATTTCAGGGGAGGTTAATGATGGTTAGCATGCAACCATTGGGTAGCCTATTTTCAGACAAAGCCACGTGGTCGAAACCTGTAGGGCTACCAGTTTTAAAGCATGGGATGGATGGACTTCATTTTCAGACCCGTGTTAACAAGAGACAATGAGATAAACCCAATCATAAACCTCTAAGTGAACTGAACATCACCCACTTCTTGCATAATTCTGGAGGGTTTGTAGTTTTGGGTTTACCGCAATAACAACATGGTCTTTGGATTAATAGGGATTCCCCCTCCAATCATGGCATTAAATGGAGGTTCATGTGCCAAGAATAGGATAACAGAAACATTCTGCAAGAAGCCTCGTGGCAAGCTGGAAAAGTCAAACTTCTCAAGATATGGCTTCGGCAAATAGGGGGAAACATTCGGAGCAGTGGAGGAACATCACCGATTTTCCCCCGAAAATTTTTTGAAAAACGGCTGGAGGGCTAACCCCCCAGGAAGCGTGGGAGCGCAAGCTCCGGGAACGCGAGGGACAAGAAAACACCAAGGGAACTGCACACCTCAAAGCGGGCAAGGCGCTGGCACAGCGGATGTCAGGGCCTGGGCTTTTTGGGTGACCGGGATGGCCCGCGAGTTCGGTGTCATGACATCCATGAAACATGACGGAAATCCATCACTGCTGGATCCGGAGGCGCCGCGAAGTAAAGAGGGTGCCTGGGCAGCGCCAGGGAGAAAATCGGATCCCGAGGGTTCGAACGAGCAATTAATGTATCAATTGAAGTAGATCTCTGTTGGCTTTGTCTGATAGGGTACCCTGTTCTATCCTCTGAGCCCTGGTTTTGGACAGCTCTTTTGCGGACCGCGGACTTTTTTGATGGCCCGCAAGTTGGGGCCAAATCCGTTATTCGAACAAACCACTGGTTGTTTCAATTGGATCTCAGTCGGTTCTGTGCCATTCTTGGCAAGTCAATGGGGATGTTTTGTGGCTTTGGGTTTTACATTAAAATTTCCCTTTCTGCCCATATTTTGTTGGTGAAATCCAAATCAGGTTCTACATTTTTCGGGGGCTACCATCCTTCCAACCAATCTACAGACCCTGAGAATACCGCCTTTTTAGAGGAAATATGTCTTCCAACCCAAACAACATCCCAATTCTTGTGTTATCATCATTATAGATGGCTTCGTGACTCCGCCAAGCGCCGACTTCAGGCTACACCCCTGACGCGGCTGCGCAACGCGAGGAAGCTGTGCCTGAGAGAATTTGGTCCTTCTGAAACCACTTTTGAAATATATATATATGTATAACCACCAGATTTAGGGCTAATCTTCACTTTCACTGGCACTGACCCAGAGGAAGCATTGGTCCCAAAGTTGAGAAAAAGTATCCTGCATTTTGGACAGATTACCCATGGACAAAATCCACTGGTGTTTATCATGATTTTTGCCATTGATGATCATTTTCTTGTAGCCTCTGGAGACGAAGCCAGAATGGGTCAAATGTTGATTTGCTGTTCTGAATCTTGGAAAAACCTGCCTATTTCTTTGGAAAAATGAAGGAAAAATCCCAGCCCTTCACGTATGATGAATCGCCTCCACTCTCATCCATTTTTTGCCCGGAAAATCCACCACAAATCGATGATTTTCCCAGCGAGAAAAAAAACCTTCCAGAAATCGGGATTTCCCCACATTTTTTCACCTTTTCCTATGGGTTTTTTCCCATATGTTCGCCGGGATTTCCCAGCGATCGCCATGTTTAACCAGAGAACGAGTCGAAGCGAAGCGAAGCTTCGCGAAGCGAGGTGTCGGTGGCGTTCTCCCCTCGTCGTTGCCTCTTCGACAAGCAGCACTTCAATACCATCGATCAAAACCTGACCTACATGTAGCTCAGACCTGATGGTTTCGCCCCAGGGGAATCTGGCAATATCTGGCTGCAAGATCATCTAATGGCGTTATAAATGGCCAAAATTTTTTCTAGCTATGTAAAATAACCAGAGTGTAATCCATGGAATGTATAAGCAACTATGAAATGACTATAAATATATGCTCAGTCCAGATGGGCGAATGCTGAAAAACCGAGTGGGGTGTCCTAGGATTGGTGGCGTGTAGCGACCTATGGGTGATCTAACCATGAAAACCATGGGATTGAACGGCAGATTCACCGGACATGGGAGAGATTTTGGCTCAGAAATGGGCCATTTTCAAGAGCTGGCAGCTGGGCTAACCATGGCTAAGCAATATTGGGGATGGTCGTGACCAGTCCATTTTCATAGTGATGTAGCCATGATGTTTGGATTCCTATGATTGGATGGATGACCTTGAAGAAACCACACATGGGCTGCGACAATGATGACAATGGATTGAAGGCAAAATGGGAAGCGGAAGCAGTGGAAAAGCACTGGTTACCACTCAAGATCTTCCCTTCACCCAAGCCATTGACTGTGGGATGTGGGCTTTAGCCTGAGGTGGAAAACCTACAATTTCTTCGTGCCAGATCGGGAGTATTGCACCAATCTGGAGGGCCTACTGGAGCATTTGTGGATGAAGCCGCTGGTTGCGAAGGGAAGGGGCGGATGATGATGTGATGGTTGAAATCGTGGCTTCTGATGCGGAATTTCATCGTTCAAAACGTCGGCAGTAGTTTCGCATGAGTCTTATGGAACATGCCAGAATGCTGTGTATGTCTCCGCCTCAAACTCATAAGTTTCACATTATTATGTTGTTGGACTTGTTTCGATACAACCATATCATTTGGTGATGCTGGTCCAAGTTCTTTTTTGGTGATGGATCCACAGCTAGATTCGTTACACATGTCATGAGTCAACCAGGTGCACTGATGACGCTTGCTGCCTTTTCTGCAACCGAAGATTCCCTGATGGTGCCAGCACTCGCCGACACATGCTGGACTGGACGAAAGCACAGCATCTACAATCAGCAGTGATGTACTCAACTGCCCCAGCTGGGCAGTTTGCAATCCCGTCACTCAATTATTTTAGTATAATACACTATACTATAATATAATATACTATACTATAATATACTGGATGGATCCGAGTCATGGCCAAACTCAGAGCCCGTTTTACATGCCTCAATAATTGACCCAAGCGAAAAAATCACTATTGATCTGGGTTTGTGTTAGAATAGATCACCCAATTCCGATCAATGATAACAAGAATTACCATAACAATCCATAACAGTTACAGTGACAGTATCCCCATGTATCCCCCGAAAAATAGGACACATCCCTGTCCAGGGGCCTCTTTCGATGGTTCGCCTCTTGCCTCATATCTTTCAGGTTTCCAATCTTTTCATCGTAACGTTTACATAGATGTGGAAAACCAATGGTTTCCCATTTGGAACAAATTATCTACATTCATTTTGTGGGTTAAAACCACATCTTTTTAAGTACCACAAAGCCGGAGGGCATCAGCAAGATCATCCATACAGTCGATGGGCCTTGAGGGGATGATAACATGTGGATGATATTTTAGTGGATAATTAACATTGATATAGATGATTAATAGATGCTATACATGATGGGTATTATTTAACAGATCCATACATGATGATTAACATATTGTGGATATTGTGGATGATTAACATCTATTAATCATTAATCACCCATCTATTAATATTAATCATCTATTATAACATATCTTAACTATGTTAAGCTTAACCACTCGTGGGATGATCCTCCAAGAGGGGTTGCCACATGTTGCCACGAGAGGACAAGGCCCACACCCGCATTGGCACCGAAGCACGCACCCGCCGCGGAAATCTGGATGACTTGGGATCCCAGGACTGGCGAAGCGAGATGGAAATGCCACCCGATCCAGCAAAAATTCCAGGGAACATATATCATATGTAATTATACACACATATATATATATGTATGTATATATATATGTATATATATATATATGTATATGTATATATATATATATATATGAGTCATGGAAAATGAATCTATTTTCAGGATACCATCCAGCAAACTAGCAAAGGGATATGGAAATGCCACCATGAATGTACACTTGTAGACCTAAGGAAAAACCCTGCAATTCCATTGCAAACTTAGCTAAGAACATACATGTACTGCACAGTAAATCGTGGTAAATCCGAATTTTCAGTGGGTGAATCCCAATACAAAACGGATGGCTATTTTGTTCGTTTTGGTATTTTTTTGATGTTTGTTTCCCGGCTTCTTTGCTTTTCTGCTTCTTGCTTTTCTGCTTTTTCCTGCTTCTCTGCTTTGATGTTTCTTTGCTTCTCTGCTTCTCTGCTACTCCACTCTTCTGCCTCTTTGCTTCTTCGTTTCTCTGCCTCTCCACTTTTCTGCTTCTCTGCTTCTTCGTTTCTCTGCCTCTCCACTTTTCTGCTTCTCTGCTTCTTCACTTCTCTGCTTCTCCACTGTTCTGCTTCTAGGCTTTTTTCTTTTCTGCTTTTCTGCTTTTCTCTGCTTCTCTACTTCTTCGCTTCTTGATTCTAAACCAACCTAAAACCAACCCGAAATAAGCCTGAAAACAACCGTAACCCAATCTTAAATGAACCCTAGTCGCAAAATACCATGCAACATGAAAAGTTTGAGCACCAAAATATTGCAAACACAATGGAAAATGAAAGGTTCGAACTCCAAAATGTTGCAAATACACCTCCAAAATGCTGCAACTAGCAAGGAAATTGTACAGAAATCGCAAATCCCAAAAACGGAAAAACATAATTCCCACAACACTTCCGGACCCATACAAAAAATCCCATTGTGATCACTTTTTTTTTTTAATGGGGTAAAATCCAATCGCAGGACCTGGAGGCGGAACTGGAGGAGTTCTACGACTTCACTGGCTCCACACGTGCGCCGTCGAGTTAGGGGATATAGGAACTTGAAACTGCAACCGGAAACAAGTCAATTAAGGATTTGAGGATTTATGTGTAATATATATATTCTACGTACTTGTTTATTTGTTTATTTATCTGTTTGGTATATTTGTCTATTTATATATATTTGTTTTATTTACTATTTAATAATTTGTTCATTATTCATGTCTTTTTATTTTCTAAAGACTTGTTGACCTCCGAATTTTTGGGACTTCAACCTTTAACCAGCGAAAGGTCTGGATTTAGGAATGATAAAAATAACGAAACATGCGATGTGAATAAGATTCTCACAAAGGGAATGGACACATCAGGGAATATGTCCGTGGTGTATCATGCCAACTCAGGGCAAATTGCCAGGATTTTTGCAGGAACCCAAGATATTGACAAAGAACCAATCATCAATGCTTCCCAAGCCCGTAAGGTGAGATCACCGAACGCATCACTGATCCACAGCAGCGACTTGCGTTGCCTTGGCTGCAAGGGGTGTTTTTTTTCCTCATTTTTTTAAGTTCGTAGTGTCCCAAAATTGGATGATGGGATAATTTACAGGAAAACTTGATATTTCCTGGCAAAAAAAACATGGTTTCCTGGAAAGATTCTATAAAGAATCAATTCATTAATAGTGAAATCCGACATTTTTGAGGTCCGAACTTCCGAAGATCAGGCATTCTGTAACTCTCTACATGTCTTGATACTTGCGTCTTGGGCACAGTGGACTGTGCTCAGGTCCATCTTCCGCTTCTTTGACGAAGATCGAGACGGCTTTCTATCCTATGAGGATACAAAACCTGCTGAAACAGATCACCAAAATATGGGCCCATATGGGCCCCGAAGTCCAGCCCTTTAGGAAACACCTTGCCTCCAACCCCCTAAGCCCCCTTTCAGCGTTTCACCATAGCCAGGAGTTGACTGAGCTCTGGCGTGCCACCAAAAAGGAGGAGGCTGCGGAGCTGACTGCACCCCTCTTCCAGGGCGCTTGCGCCCAGGCCCGACCTGGTGGAAGCGTTGCGGTAGCCGGTTGAACTCGGTTGAACTCGGTTGAATGTGTTGGCTGTTTCGCAGGCTGGAGCAGATCCAAAACGTGGCCTTGATATGGAGGTTGGGGCTCTGGATTGAGACACAGCAACTCGCAAATGTTTTCGCCATTTTTCGCCGAATTGTGGCGAGTCAATACCTATGGTTTTTCCAGATTGGGGGGAAATAACCATTCATTAGCCAGCTACTGTATTTGATGGCTATTTCAGGGTACTGTACCTGGGTTGCCAGGGTTTTGACATAAAAACCGCGAAATATCTCGTCATATTTGCACAAGAATTGGGCACCCTCTGGTAGTTTCACAGATCTATTGAAAATTACCATCCTTGTTATATCAGATAAACTAAATGAACATCTTCCAGTTCGCAAACTGCTAGTGCTGCTAGTCATTACCAGAGGCCCCATGAATAGTACATGGTTATAATCCCCTATAAATATCTATAAATCCCTTCTACATCCCCTATAAATCATTATAAATCCCCCATTCAGCCAGAGTTCATGGAACCCCGGCGTTCTGCGTCCAGGCCTTGGCGCGACTCTACATGGAAGGCTTCGCGGATCTGGCCGAACACTTCCAGGTCTTGGAGGACAGCGGAGTCCGACGTTATTTCATGGTGATTTTCTCCATGAGTCATGGGGGCTTTTCACCATAGAAGATCTCGGGGTGTCAACTTGATCGATGATGGTGTTGTTGATGATGATGATGATGATGATGATGAGAATGACGACGACGACGACGACGACGACGACGACGACGACGACGACGACGAGGACGAGGACGAGGACGAGGAGGATGATGATGATGATGATGATGATGACAATGATGACGATGACGATGACGACGATGACGACGATGACGATGACGATGACGATGACGACGATGAGGATGATGATGATGATGATGACGACGAGGACGATGACGACGACGATGATGATGATGATGATGAGGATGACGATGACGACGACGACGACGACGACGACGAGGATGATGATGATGATGATTATGATGATGATGTTGTTGTTGATGATGTTGATGATAATGATGATGATTATGATGATGATGATGATGTTGTCGATGATGATGTTGTTGATGATGATGTTGTTGTTGATGATGATGATGATGTTGTTGTTGATGATGATGATGATGATGATGTTGTTGTTGTTGATGATGATGTTGTTGTTGTTCATGATGATGTTGTTGTTGTTGATGATGTTGTTGATGATGATGATGTTGTTGATGATGATGTTGATGATGATGATGTTGTTGATGATGATGTTGATGATGATGATTATGATGATGATGTTGTTGATGATGATGATGTATTATATATTATATATACACCTATGTACATATACATACGCACATACATTTACACACACATATACATACATATATATAATATAATATAATATAATGTAATATTATATTATATTATATTTTAATATAATATATATAATATAATATAATATAATATGATATAATATAATATATATATATATATTACACATATATAGATATAGGGGGTTACATTACCACTGTTATATTGTTGGGTCATCCAGTGGGAAAGCCATGGGCGCAGGAGCTGCTGGCCAAAAAATTGTCTTCCAAGAATCTTCGCAAGGCCATGGCGCCACGCAAGGAGGAGTGCTTTTGAATGGTAGGATGTGTCTCTGAGATGTGTTTTTTTAAAGATTGGATGAATTATAACAGTTATGAGTTTTTTAATGGCACTGAAATGGCTTGAAATGAGTTTTTTCAAGTTTCAATGGCTAGAAATTCTTACTGGCACTGAATTGTGGCGGATGCCGCCATGAAAGGAGATACAGGAAGACGAGGATGACGATGATGAAGATGATGAAGATGATGAGGCGGGCTCAAGGACGAGACTGAAAGAAGTTTCTGGGACGCGACTGGTCTACAAGCATCGTTTTAGACGAACATGATCACTTGGAAAGGATCGTTGCGACCGAAGCTGTCTGCTTAAACACAGGATGACGCGGAAAGCTCTGGTACCGAGATTGCTGCTCTTCTGCAAGCAGCTGGTCTACCCTCTTTGGCAGCGCCCTGTTCTTTGATTCTTTCGTCCTTGGTGTTGGTCTTGCAGTGATCATTGATTGAAGAAACAGTCAAACCAATGGTTCCTGTTCTTGGTCGCCATATGCGCTGGCCCCTCAGGTTGAATGCGATGATGAGGCCGAGTTTGAAGAGGCCCCCGGTGGAGAAGGACCAATTTTCATGGTTTGAACATGGCGGAACGTGGGGGTATATCCCAAACTGGCAATTTCAATCTGGAAGGTCATGGTAAACCAGTGGAAACTTTTTTTTTTTGTTTTTTCGTTTTTCCATCATTTGCAGACAAACCCATCTGGACAGGGCTTACCTAGTTCTTTCTGACTTGTGCAGGAAAAAACTGAATCCTATCCAGTGGTTAAGACGGAGCTATGGGTATACTATGGGTATATAGCGGTATCCACCTATTAAATGGGGAACTTCCCAAGCACATGAAGGGTGAATTTCCATGAGTTTCTGACTATTGGTTGCTCACATCAGGTCATGAGAATACTGGGCCTGCAGCAAGCCATGGTCTTGGACAATGGCGACCTGAGGCAAGATCAAGCGATCAGTATGGGTGACGGTTTGGTACCTGAAAACTATGGAGAAAACACCCAAATCCACGGGTTTCTCAGGTTTCTCATCCCAAAAACACATGGCCATATCTTGGGCCATTGGGTGATTCACCTGGCATGCCTCCATGCGGAAAACGGATGCTGACCTGGCTGACCGGGCTGACCTGGCAAGGCTTCCAAATGGCATGGTCGCTGCCAACCGAGATGTGGCCCACATTTGGAAGCAGCGAGGTGCGGCGACGAGTGGAGCCCCACATCGCATGGCGTTTCACATGGCAATACGACCGTTGCCAGGCACTCGTGCTGGTCCTCTCGCGCTGGGAGGCAAGCAGTTTATCCATACCTAAAAGGCTGAAATTCAAAAGTGGTTTGGAAGGTGTAGCTCAGGTAGAAGTTGTGATGATAGGGCTTATATCTGGATTAATTGGTTATCAAAAGTGGTGAGTAGTGGTTCTAAATGGTCACAAGTCATCACAGTGGTTTGCTGAATGCGGTGCCAGGGCGCCCCGGCAAGAGCGTGCGAGCTCATCTGATGCTTGCCAACGATGCGGCTGGCAAGGTGAGTGTCAGTAGCCTGTGTGTGTCTCGAATGCTTTCACTGGATGCCACAGTTTTAAGAGCTGGGAGACCTGCAGATTCTGGCCTTTCTGGCAACATCTAGCTACCATGCGGTTCTTGAGGATCGCCTCATTCCATTTCTTTTTTCGTCGGTATGATCTTCCCATTTTGCCACAGGTTGAGCTCACTCGAAGGTACGAACTTCAGGGCTGGGATTGTGGGTTTCCAAACATGGCGGACTTTAGTAGGGAAAATGATGATCAATCATGGGATTTTTTCGGAACATGATTATATATATAGACTCTATAGACTCTATAGACCGGCTAAGAATCTTCGCAGACACAAAACTGATGAAGAGGACGTATCTCGTACTGTTTTGCCAAGCCTAAGACTGGTTACTGGTCCCATTTGAGGCGCTTGGCGGCGAGTACCGCCATCACCCAGTGAATAGGACAGAGAGGAAAGAAGCGGGCTTGTGGCAGCCGACTGGGGTGAAACTCGGCTGTCCTTGGCCTAAGTTGGGCCGAACACGAGCCAACTTGGCCCTAACTTGCGCCGAACTCAGGCCAGTTGGCTCCAACTTGGGCCCAACTGGGGGTCCAATATGGCGCAGCTTGGGGACGTTTGGATGGAAGTTGGGTTTAACATGCGCAACTTGGTCCTGTGCACGGCCTCGCACCATTGAAGCCAAAAAAATTGGAAATAGCGCTGAAAACGCTATTTTTCAGCATGTGGCATTGAATCCGCCAAATCGGGCGCAAGGGGCCCATTTTGAGCCCAAGTTGGAGCCAATTGGTTTTTGTTGTGCTGAAGTTGGGCCCGCATACATCCACATGGGCCCCAAATTGAAGCCATGTGACGCACATGGAGATCCAAGTCAGCAACTTGGGACCCTTTGGTGGCAGCTTTGCGCTACCAACGGAGACATGAGGTGGGGAAGATTGCCTTAGAAAATACATGAAAACACCAGTCAGGATTTCGCCTTGGCCCGGCCTGTCACCCATTTTGAAGCCGCGTGGACCTCAACTTGGGCAGGTTGGACCCAAGTTGGGCCGAAGTTAGGCCATGTTGCGGACATGTCGGGCCGAAATGGTGAATCTGGATGATGTTGTACCGATCTGCAAAATGTTTCAAGCTGTGCAAATTACAGTCCCACTACTTTTTGGCGCCCTGCTTGGTTCGAAAATGCCCCCCCACCCCCAGCTGAAGCCGTACCAGTGAACAGAGGATTGTTGGAATCGATCGGCTCCGCCCCCAAGCTATCACACCTTGCACCTTCGGTGCGGGCGGATTTTCGTGGGGTTTAAAACAGGAGGTAGAAAACATGTTGGTTTGTCTGAAAACCAGGTATCCCCAACTCCCCTGGTTTGTCGTCAGCATTCCCATTTAATTAAGCAAATAAAATTAGAAAGGATATCTTTTAATGGGTATCCCATTTTTTCGGTAAAGTAATTTCTGGGGTATCGAACCCTGACCCTTTCCCGTTCTGGCAGGGAGCAGAAGAGGGAGGGCAAACGGGTCATTGCCATCTTGAAGGAGAAGAACAAGCAGGAGATGAGACTGGGTATCTTGAGAAAATGTCGGCCCCAACTTGGGTAGACCTTGGTGGTGAACCAACAGCGATAGTGTTGGGTTTCAATCTCTGGGGCCAGGGAGTGGTGCCACGAAAATGCACACCCCGAAAAACCGGAACAGTCCGGAACCTTGCTTGGAACCTTGCTTGGAACCTTGCTGGAACCTTGCTGGATAGGATTTATTCAAGATTACAGGGTTCCAAGATTTAAAGGTTTCAGGGTTCCAAGATTCCATCGTCTATCCCTCCAGGTTTTTCAGGGTTCCATGGTTCCAGGAATTCTTCCGAGGCATTCCTGCAAGGGCTCCAGCAAAGGGTTTCTGCTCTGGAACCCTGGAACCCCTAACTCTCAAGGCTTTGAAACCGTGGAAACCTGCAACCTTGGATTCCTGGGGCTTTGTAAGTTTTGAACCATGGAACCCTGCAACCTTAGAATCCTGCAACCCTGGAACTCTAGAACCCTGGAGCTCTAGAACTCTAGAGGCCCTTTGCAAGTCTGGAAGCTGGACTGGGAACCCTCAAGCTTTATCTGCAGCAATATTGGTCCCTTGGTCCATGGAATTTTGAAACCAGGAAACTTGGAGCGTTGGAAGTATGAACCTCTAGAGTCATGGACTCGTGGAAACCCAAACTTGGTCTCTTGCAACCTTAGAGCCTTGCTACCCTCCCTGGAAACTGAGTACCCTGTTAAGAGCTTGGAACCTTTCACCTTGTGAAACTGTAGACCAAACTGCCCACATTGTGTTCTTGAAAAATAAGTTGAAACAACTCTATTGTGTTTTTCTTTTGCTTTGCATTGCGCTGGTCACTTCGTTGTTGATGAATCAAACCCAGACCCTTACAAGTCTGGAACCTTGATGCTTGGAACCTTGAGAACCCTGGAAATTTGGAGCGCGAGAAAAATGGTAATCATTGGTAATCTAGAAGTCTGGAAAGTCTGGACTGGAACCTTGGAACCCTTGGAACTCCCAAGTCATCTGCAACCTTGCCCTGGAAAGCTGCAACGGTGGAATCTTGGAACCCAAAACTTTGGAACCTTGGGTGATGACATTGCAGCCTTGGAACCAAGAAGAGCCTGCTGTTGGGTTGCAAAGCTGGGTTAATTTTCATGTGAGCGTCTAAGGTTAGACACATGCAAGTACTGTCACCCTCATGAGGGAGTATCCTTAGAAAGTGTTGAATTCTACGCTTTCACGGGGTTTCTACTGTGGCTGGCGGGATTACAAACATTGGACGCGCTGTAAAGATTGTAAAGTCATCTGCAGGTTTCCGCCCAAAAAAAAACAGTCGGATGACCTTCCAGTTCGCCCAGGTATGCAGATGAATCTGGTCCTCAAGGGCAGACCCAAGAAATTCCGAACGCTCATGGGAGATGCTTCAGGTGGGCGTTAGCCGTTGAGCCATGGCAGCCTTGGCCATGGGACGCATCATCTTGTTTTGGGGGGAGAACGCGACCCAAATCGAACCAACATGATCTATTTTGGCATGCTTCAATCATGTCAAGAACTTTTGTTCCCATTCTTGATTTTTGGGTTTCTCTTCTCAAACCCAAAGCTTTGTTGGTTGAATTTCCAGCAAACCATTCCACAGAGCGTGGCCAACGGCTGAACCACGCCCTTCACGCCTGTGACCGGGTGGGGGCATTGTCCATAGCTGCATCCAGTGACGTCTTGGATCCTGGATGGTTGTATGCCTCAAAATGGAAAAAAACCGTGAAACTCAGAACAAGGGCGGGATAAGTGATGATGATACCATATGATACCATATGGGAGATAGGCGGTATTCATTATAATTGTGGGGGAACATTGCTGAGTGTAAAGCAACTTAATTCATTCCAAAGAACCAATCCTCAACCATATCGCCTCGTCCAAAATCATCAAAAACAGTTGCCAATCGCAATCAATCATTATATACAACCATATTTCGGAGTGCCTTTTTCAAACCTCCACTGTTTTGGGCCTCCATTTTGAGACATCTCCGATGGAGAGTCTGTAAGTCGCCGTAACAAAATCGCGTCAGTCGCGTGTACCGTGCAGGACGAGTTGTACAGTGTTGTGTCACACCTGGGACATTAAGGTTTACTCGGAGGATCACCCCACGGATCAGTGAGTTGTGGTTGATAGCCCAATCGTTCAAATCCACTAAAAAGTGACTAGTGGATATAAGAAAAAAATGGTCCAACGGTGATGTGGGTGTCCAATGAATGGTTGTTTTCCAGCATAAAGCCAGTAATTTTGAAATCAAAAGAAGGCACAACCAACTCATGAATGCATTGAATTGGTCTAAATTTCTACAGAAAAATCAATGATCTTGAAAATTCTGGTGGAAAGAGCGAACCTGTCCCAGATTCAGCCTGAGTTGTACAGGTGAAGGCGCGTGGAAAATAAGCAAGAGTTGTTGGTGGCTTCACGGGGCTTTGCGGGGAATTTTTATGGCTGTGTTTGAAAATGGGGCACTATCCCATTTTTGGTCAGACCCATTGGTGTTTTTTTTAACCCTGTTTTTCACGTCACTTCACGCGAAAAAGAAAGCTTCCCTGGAAACTTGGGAACGAAACGGCATAATGTGGGTAAAACAATAATAAACCATCCCCAATTTCACCATTTTTATAGGTGGTTTGGTAAAACGATGTTTACCATTCCCTGGCGGTAAAAAATTGCATTGTTTTAACCACATTAGTTGCCAGCCCAGGTGCCGGTCGACCCACCCCCATCTGGTCCCACCCTGTGGCCGTGAAGCTGTGAGGTCGGGGCTTGAGTCCAGCAGACTTGGAGGACATCCAGGCGGCCCGAGCGTCTGGTAAACCTTTACAGTTTGCTATTGAAAACGGCCATTGATAGTGGATTTACCCATTAATAGCATGGTGATTTTCCATAGCTATGTTAGTTTCCCAGAGGGTAAATTTTGTATTTTCCAAGAAAGCTTCATCTGTCTTTATAGAAACCAAGGTTTTCTCCTAAGATTTCCTTGAACCACATCCAATCATCAACTACACCCGTGGGATCCACACACTCCGCTGCCAATTTCAAAAGATGTGTACCCTGCAGTAGTGAAATGTGGCTGGCTGGAAATCGCCAAACCAGATGGAGGTTTCTATTTCCAGCCAGCCATTTTTTTTATTGCGAGAGGGTACCCTAGAGGGTCAACGGTTACACAGATGTGGTTTTCCACGAAGAGCATCCCATTCGGACAATGATCATCACACTTGGTGGTGGGTAAACTCCACATGGAACTGTAAACTACCGCACAAGGCGGTGGCGGAAGTTTCAAAGATAGGAAACCTATAGGAGAAGTGAGTTGTTGCGATGCATGGATGGCAGAGCGAACGCGCTGATGGACCGAAAGGTGGTTGGAATCGTGCTTTTTGGAGTGGTTGCAGTGGTCACTGGATGCACACCTGCTGGATGTAGTGCAGTGTAGTTATAGTGTGGTGTAGTGTAGTTGTAGGTGTAGTTGTAAAATAGTGTAGTGTAGCGTAGTTGGAGTTGGAGTTGTAGTTGTTGTGTAGTTGCAGGGTAGTGTACTTGTAGTCTCAGTTATATTCCGAGTGTGAGTGGTAGTGGTATTTGTATTTGTAGCAGTAGTTGTTGTAGTGTAGTCCAGCGCAGCGCAATGCAGTGCAGTGTAGTGGAGTGTAGGTGTAATGTAGTGTAATGAATTGTGCAGCTGTTGTTGTAGTCGGAGTGTAGTGTAATATGTCATAAGTGTCTGTAATGTAGTTAGTGTAGTGTAATTACCGTGTAATTAGTGTAGTGTAACGAGTGTAGTGTAGATTCGCGTAGTGTAGTTGTAGCTGTAGCTGTAGTGGTAGTTGTAGCTGTAGTTGTAGTTGTGGTATAGTACAAATGTAGTTGTAGTTGTAGCGTTCTAGCAGTAGTAGTAGTAGTAGTAGTAGTAGTAGTAGTAGTAGTACTAGTAGTACTAGTAGTACTAGTAGTACTAGTAGTAGTGTTTTGTTGTAGTTCTAGTTGCAGTTGCAGTTGTAGTGTTAGTGCTAATGTTCGTGTTAGTGTTCACTGCTTCCAGACATCTGAACGTCCAAAAGTGGTCCGAGACCATCAATTTTTAACACTTTTGACTTGCGAATGTGCTTCGGGCCACAACAGCGTGTATTGTCTGAAGTTTGACTTTTAAACTTCCTTCGAATATCCATGAATAGAAAGTGATCTTCCGATGTATCAGCCCTCTTCCCTGGCCTCCAGGGCTTTGGCGTGATGCTTTCCTTCCTCTCAGCCGACGGCTCCAACAACAGAGATTTTCAGGACTTGCCAAGCCATTTGTTAAAAGGTTTGTACATCAATCATAATTATCTGTAAATCAAAATTTATTAGAAAACTATATCTGATATTATCTGATTGTTTTATACATAGAATGATGATGATAATGAGGATTATCATCAAGGTGATAATGATGATAGTGATGGTAACCATGACGACAACCATGGTTGGACTCCCCCAACTTGGGGGTTGATGCTCCAGGTCCCCGACGGTGGAAACCCACGAAGCACCTGGTACATCAACTGGGATGATCACTTTTTTGTCTCCAAATTTTGTTTTATCGCGGCCAAACCATCCGGTGTTACTGGATATATATATATATACACACATATATATATACATATTTTGGTCGCGCCAAAATGCGCCAAATATATCAATGGTCGGAGTCGTTTGTGCATCAGCATGGCACAGGAGGGCCCCTTTGACTTGCGGCTTCTGTCCATCAGCACCTTCTGACGGATCCTGGACCGCTGGACCCTTAACTTTTCGTCCGACTACCATGGTGGGAGATGTTAGAACATAGTGCAAGATAGTCCAAGAGTGCACGTTAAGATCACTCTTTCAATGCAAATGCGCAGCGTTTTGAAGATGTTTGGGGACTCGTGGAACTTTTCAGAACTGAGTTGGATCTGCTTCACTTGTCTTCTGTTTTTTTGAGGCACAGGCTTTCTGAGCGTGGGATCACCTGTTTTTGGATCGTTTCTGTGGGTGCTAAACTTTTCGACAAAAAACTACTGAAAATATGGTCCGAGCAAGAGGTTTTGTAGATCTCAGTTTGGTTTGGCACCACTCCTTGTTTTTTTCCCAACCATGTTGGGCTTTCCACACAGCGAGTGTCAATTTTGCATGAACGTCCGCCGACGATTCGTGTCATTTTCCGCTGGGGCAGGGAGAGTCTCAGTCATCCAGCAGTTTAGGATATTTACCGATAGTTCAAATTGATGAAGGTTTCCTAAAATGGGGGTACACCGAAATCATCCATTATTTTGGTAGGATTTTCCATTTTTTCAACCAATCATTTTGGGGTACCCCCCTTTTATGGACCCCCCCAAATGATTCCACTGTGTAGGCGCCTCCTGCCTACACATGCGCTTGCCCAGAGTGTAGACTTGTTTTCCTTTGTACAGGCAGATGGGCAGAAAAGGGAAACCCTAGAAACCCTAGGACCTTGCCTTGCCACAGTCCTAGGTCGATATGCCATGGCCAGATGCATGAGTTCTAGTGTTGTAGCATATTTCTTCATCAACCCATGACTGGGGTACCTCAAGCGATATATGAATATTATATATATGTGTGTGTCAGTGCGTATGTATATATATATGGTTATGCAGTTATGCGTATATATATATAGATATTATATCTGTTTCTTTGCCCTTTATTTCATGAAAATTTGTACAGCAATCCATGTTGATATCTGTTATATATTATAGGAATAGATAAATAGCAATCCATATTTAAGCAGCTATTTACATAGACAAGGTGATCATCCACTGAGAAAATCTCAAAATTGCACCAACATCACACATTTTGGGTGATGTTAGCCATGAAGTATCCATGATGTTATCATTTCAGGCGCTTTCGCTTGCGCAGGAGGGGAGAGATCAGCTCTGAAAATGATGGGGTTTCACCCCTCATTAGCCCATGGTTGAGCATGGGGATCATGCGGATGGGTCCTCAATGGATGATCACCAAAAAGTCTATGTAAATAGCTGTTTAAATATGGATTGCCATTTATCTATTGCTATAATATATAACAGATATCAACATGGATTGCTCTATCAATGGATGATCACATTTGTCGCCTCTTGGTGCACCGGTGACAGCACGTAACGCCGCTGAGATTCCTGGAAGTTGGGAATCTGAGGCGCGACCCGTTCTGACCGTTCTGACCGTTCTGCGAGGGACGGGACTGGCTGAGGTGGAAATCTGAGAGAACAACGGGTGACCTCTGACAGAAAGAGATGGCCATCTTATGGTTGAAGCAGGTTTTTTCAACATGATCATGATCTACATTCATGTTGTATCATTTTAAGTGGGTTTTCCATATCTCTGTACTGATTCACGGGTAAACCGGTAAACCCTAGCCGGATGTAGTGGGTACATTTGTCCAGAATATTTGGTGGATATCGTCTAGAAAGTATCGGAGACTATCTAAACCTTGATGGATATTCTCCGTCAAGTGATGGATA